AGGTTAAATACACACACACACACACACACACACACACACACACACACACCCCTTGGATGTTAGCTTTTAATTAAGCTGATTTTTAACCATTGAGCTCTTTTAAAAAAATCTTTTTAAATCTCATTACTGTATTTCAGCAGGAAAACAAATGCTGCTGTTTCAGAAGTACAGCCATTGCTCTTTCAGTTTTGCCTGGTTAGCTAAAGGTGGCCTTGTTATGTAAATCAAGCCCCTTAGCAGTCAAAATAAAAAATCTTTCATCTTTTTTTTCTCCTTTTGCTGGCCTTTTTTCTCCCCCCACCAGACCAGCTTTTTTTTTTTTTTTTCCATGACACAGTCTTGCTCTCTCACCCAGGCTGAAGTGCAGTGATGCAATCTCGGCTCACTGCAACCTCCGCCTCCTGGGTTCAAGCAATTCTCCTGCCTCAGCCTCCTGAATAGCTGGGATTACAGGTGCGCGCCACTGCGCCCGGCTAATTTTTGTGTTATTAGTAAAGACGGGGTTTCACCATGTTGGCCAGGCTGGTCTGGAATTCCTGACTTCATAATCTGCCCGCCTCTGCCTCCCAAAGTGCTGGGATTACAGGTGTGAGCCACTGTGCCTGGCCCTTTGTGTGTGTGTGTGTTGGAGGTGGAGGGGAATTTAGTCACTCCAGAGGCCTTGTTTCCCATAATTTTGAACTTCTTTAGGATTTGATCAAGTCAGGCAGAGCTGATCAAACCCAATGGGAAAAAGACTGAAACAACAACAAAACAGAAACAACAACAACAACAAATAGTTAAGCAAAACAAATGATCGCACAGCTTCCATGATCACTGAGCACTCTAATAGTCAGCAGAAATTAAGAGCAGCTGATCGTTAACTTTAGCCAAGACAAACCCTCAATTCAGCTACTTACCTAGGGATGGGTCTCAGGCTCAAGACAGCTCTCTACCATCCTAGAAGCAGGAAAAAAACCTCCTTTTTCCTATCGGAAGCGAGCTCAAACTTCATAAACGAGTTAGCTGCCTTCCATTGTCATGGAAACAGGAAAACTTGCCTTCCTTGTTGGAAACAAGTAAAACTCAAAAAGAAAGAGGGAGTTGTACAGGGAAATAAACTTTAGATCTCAACCAAATTTGGGGAGATCAGGGATTCTCTAGAGGGGGTGCTCCCAGACCTCAGCAAATTGTCCTATTGGTTTGAGCCATAAAGTTGGCTCACGCCAGTACCAAGCACCCTTAGGAGATTTGTCAAAGGTCAGGGGCACCTCCACTCAGAATCCCTCTGAGGTTATCAAAATGTCAACTCCAAAAATTTGAGACAGGTCTCAGTTAATTTAGCAAGTTTATTTTGCCAGGTTGAGGACGCGTGCTTGTGACACGGCCTCAGGAGGTCCTGTTGATATATGCCCAAGAGAGTCAGAGCACAGCTTGGTTTTATACATTTTAGGGGGACATGAGACATCATATGTTACAAATTAACATATGTATTGTTACAAATTAACATATGTTACAAATTACATATGTTACAAATTACCATATGTAAGATGGACATTGGTTCGGTCCGAAAAGGCCGGACAACTCAAAGCAAAAGCAGGATGACTCAAAGCAGGGAAGGCCTTCCGGGTCATAGGTAGAAAACAAACAAAGGGTTGCATTCTTTTGAGTTTCCGATTAGTCTCTCCAGAGGAGCCAATCAGATACGCATTTATCTCAGTGAGCAGAGGGGCACTTTGAATAGAATGGGGCGCAGGTAACCAGGCGTACTGGCTCACTCCTGTAATCCCAGCACTTTAGGAGGCCAAGGCGGGTGGATCACAAGGTCAGGAGATTGAGACCATCCTGGCTAACACTGTGAAACCCCATCTCTACTACAAATATTAAAAATTAGCCGGGCGCGGTGGCGGGCGCCTGTAGTCCCAGCTACTCGGGAGGCTGAGGCAGGAGAATGGCGTGAACCCGGGAGGCGGAGCTTGCAGTGAGCCGAGATCACGCCACTGCATTCCAGCCTGGGTGACAGAGCGACACTCCGTCTCAAAAAAAAAAAAAAAAGTATGGGGGGCAGGTTTGCCCTAAGCAGTTCTCAGCTTGACATTTCCCTTTAGTTTAGTGATTTCAGGGACCCAAGATATTTTCCTTTCACAAGGTCTTCTGGGAGGGGTGGGATGTGGAAAGCGGGCCAGAGGGGTTCCAAAGTCACACCCACCTCCCCCAGTGCAGCCAGAACTGCTGCTTCCCCCCAGAGTTTAGAGTCACGGCCAGTGCCTCCCTCAGCTAGTTTCTCTACCCCAGCTCATTCCACAACACACACTGACATCTGGATGGCACTTGCTATGTGCCAGATGCCTGGCTAAGGACTTTGCATGTATTTATTCATTGAGTCTTCCCAACGATCCTATGGGGGAGGTGCTGTTATCATTACAAAGAAGTTAAAGTTGTTAACGCGTTACTTGCTAGATCTGGCATTATAGAGAAATACGGAGTTAGGGCCAGGACAGTATAAAGAGAAGTGGGAGTCAACACCAAAGAGGGGAAGAACACAGGCCCTGCTGTCGACATTCTGATTCCATAGCCAGGGTTCTCATTTGGTTCTGACCAGTCATCCAGTTCCTTTCCTCTGAAAGGAGGAAGTAACCTATTGCTCAGGGAAATAGAGATTTTCCAGAAGCTCAACAGTGTTTTGTTTGGTTGGTTTTGTTTCTCTCTCTCTTTTTTTTTTTTTTTTTTTTTGATAAGGGGACTCACTCTGTCACCCACGCTGGAATGCAGTGGCGTTATCATTGTTTGTTGTATTTTTTAACTAAAAAAAATTTCAAGTTTCCCGTCAGGTTACCAGGATCAGGATACTATGGCCCACATGTCTTGTATAATAGGCATTTTAAAAATACTTGTTGTTTTTCTGATTATCAAAGTCATACACATTCATTCTCAAAATCTGGAAAAGTACAGGAATGTGAAGTGAACAAAATTAAAATTACTTGTTACTAAAAGGATAAATTTGATGGTATGTGAATTATATCTCAAGAAAACAAAATAATAAAAAAGAGAAAACAAAAAAATTGTCATGTCGCCAATGAAACCTAAACTTCTGTCTTGTCTTATTTCTATGCATAGCTATATCTTTTTTTACCTAAAAGAAACTCATGAGTATTTCTCTTTTTTTTGGAGATGGAGACTCACTCTGTCGCCAGACTGGAGTGCAGTGGCACAATCTCGGCTCATTGCAACCTCCGCCTCCCGGGTTCAAGCAATTCTCCTGCCTCAGCCTCCTGAGTAGCTGGGATTACAAACATGCACCACCATGTCTGGCTAATTTTTGTATTTTTAGTAGAGACGAGGTTTCACTGTGTTGGTCAGGCTGGTCTCGAACTGCCAACCTCAGGTGATCCACCCACCTCGGCCTCCCAAAGTGCTGGGATTACAGTTGTGAGCCACCACATTCAGCCAAGTATTTCTTACACTATTAAATCTTTTCAAAAAACACAATGGCTACATAATCATTCACTGTGTAACAGTCTGTTGTAGAGACAGACATGGTCTTATCTTCTAGAAAAAATCTGTCCCAAGGGACTTTAATATAGGGAGTCTGATGGAGAGGATGGTGTCCTCAATATCATTTTATAGCAAATTCAATAACACATTTCATCTGGCTGCTTTTGACCTTTAATAAAAGCCAGGGACTCAACATTAAAATGCCACTCCAAAGGCAGTTCCTGGAGGGCACTGCCATCCAGTTATGAAGCTTTCCGGGGCCAGCTCCATCCCAGGCTAGGATTTAGGCTGCCAGGTGGGTGGATGCACTGTGTGTCTGTAAAGCATCTCCCATCAGCAGGACCACATCCCTTTTAAGAGCAGACAGAGCTGGCCTGGGCCCAGGAGCTGGGTTTGGGCATTAGGCATTCAGTCAACAGGCGTTCCTGGCACCCACCATGTGCAGCACACACAGGGACCTGGGGCCCATCCCAGCCTGCCAGGCGCTCCTCAGGCCAGGGGAGGAGCTCACTGAGCCAGGCTGGGGGCTGGGGTGGGCTGTAGGGGTCTACTGAAGGCTATACATACATGTACGTGGGCCTTACCCCAGAAAAGAGTTCAAAGCTTTGCTCCAACTCTCAAAGGCAATCATGACGCTGACAGGAGAAGAACCCCTTAACTGGGGGACATCTTCTGCGTGTTGGCTTCTTCTTTTTTTTTTTTTTTACTTATTTATTTACTTTTGAGACAGAGTCTTGTTCTGTCACCCAGGGTGGAATGCAGCAGTGCAATCTCAGTTCACTGCAACCTCCGCTTCCCGGTTCAAGTAATTCTCCTGCCTCGGCCTCCCAAGTAGCTGGGATTACAGGCCCCTGCCACCATGCCTGGCTATTTTATTTATTTATTTATTTATTTATTTATTTATTTATTTATTTATTTAAAAGTAGAGACAGGGTTTCACCATGTTGGCCAGGCTGGTCTTGAACTCCTGACCTCAAGTGATCTACCCATTTCAGCCTCCCAAAGTGCTGGGATGGCATGAGCCACTGTGCTCAGCCATGTTGGTTTCTTAAGTGTCCGTGCACTCTGGCCTACAGCACTGCAGGCCAGCAGAGCGTCCAGCCACTGGCCCTGGTTTCAGGCTCAGCCTTAGCTTCCTCTTTGGGAAAAACGAAAGCACTGCGATTAGAAGCTCTCTAAGTTTCTAAGATTGTCTTGAGACTGGCCTGCTTCCACCACTTACAGGCTGTGTAATCCTTGCCAGATTGCTCAGCTTCTCTGAGCCTCAGACTTCTACCTGCTTTGTCGAGTTTCGGGAACTAGTTTGGGTCTAGTTTTGGGAACCAGACAGAGCCGTGTGAATTCTGGGGATAGTACCCCTCTCGGGGCGCACGTGTGCTTCTGAAGAGCAAGGTGTTAAGTGACCAATGACCACTAGGGTGTGCTAACACGGGTGGAGCAGACAGCAGCAGAGTCAGGCCTGAGTGGGGCTGCCCTGAAGCCACCCAGATGGGGACAGCAGGGTTGCCTGTCCTCTGCCCTGGCAGGTACTATGTGGGCGACACCATGGACGTTCTGTTTGAGAAGTGGTTCTACTGCAAGGACCTCAGCACGCAGTTGGCCCCCATCATCCAGGAGTGAGCGCCCAGCCCAGCCCCTGCCTCTTGCTTTCCTGGGGCTCTGCATCAGCACCTGATGGCCTGGGAGAAAGTCTCCCCTCCCAGGGGAGACTCCCCTCCCAGGGTGGGGAGCCTGGCCCAGAGAGCCCAGTGCCGCTGGGGGGAGGGAGGAGCAGCAGCACGGGGCTGGGAGGGAAAGGATGGCAAACACACAGCTGTGTGAGGGCCCTATGAGTGTGTGTGGGCTCCTGCACCTGACCGTGAGTATGGTGTATGTGTGTGTCGCTGGTCACTCCAATGGGAGTGCTCGCCACTCCTGCTCCTCCCTGTTCGTCCCTGCAGGTTCTTCAGCTCTGAGCAGTACAGAACAGGAAAGCCCATCCCTGGTGAGGCCGCTGGGAACTGCCCTTCTCCTTCCCTCCCTCCTCTTCCAAAATAGGATGGGTTTTGGTCCAGGGGACCGGGGAGTCTTTGTGAATATTCTGCCCAGTTCTCAAGGTACTGAGAAGACGGCAGCCAATGGTACCCCCTACATGGCTGCTTGATCACTGAGCCGGATCCAGAGCCTGTTTCGGCAATTGAGACCTGGGGCCCCTGGGAACTCAGCCCACTGGGGCTGGGTGGGCTGGGTCCTGGGTCCTGAGGATACTGACTGTAGTCATGCTGTGGGTGCAGACCAGCTTCTCAAGGAGCCACCATTCCCTCTGAGCACACGATCCATCATGGAGCCCATGTCCCTGGAGGCCTGGCTGGACAGCCACCGCAGGGAGCTGCAGGCAGGCGCACCACTCAGCCTGTTTGGGGACACCTATGAGACCCAGGTAATGCAGTCATGGGACATCCGGGGCATCCTCCCAGCAGCCCTGGAAAATGGGAACCAGTCTCTCTCTCACTGCCTCTCTCTCTCTTTCACACACACACTCACACAAACACACACACACGCCACATTTCAGAGGTTGTAGACATGAGCATAGGCCTTTGTGCTCCCTCCCTGACACAGAGGGCGATGGCTTTGCTGCTGGCGAAGTCTGTGGAGGCTATATGGTCCCAAGCAATTTTAAGAACTGAATTCACTTTCAGAGTTGGAGGCTCCCCCACTCACTGGCAGCTTCCTGGGGGTCTGCAATTTTCCCCTCGCTAGGAATTCCTGAGCCTTCAGCCAGTCACAGCCTTGGAAGCCAAAAGGGAGAGAATTGTTTGGGAGTGAGGGTTGGGTGGAGAGAGGGATTCAAACAAGGCTGACTTTCTTTCATTCTGCATTTATTAAATGCCTGTTATGTTTCAGGCTTTAGTGGGAGAGTAGGATAGACTTGCTACCTTAAAGAATGTATAGTTTGTTAAAGAGATGGACAAGTTAATCAACAATTGCCACAATCACGTGATAAAGTATCTGATAGAAAAGCTATAGGAAGCTATAGAAGGATAAAGGAGGAATCCAGGCTGAAAGGGAAGTCAAGGAAGGCTTCCCGGAGGAGGTGATGTGCACATTGCATTTTAAAGCTAGTGTAGGAGTTTGTAAAAGAAAGAAAGGGAGGTGGAGAGAGCATTCTAGGTGAGGGAGAAGCATGAGCATGAGCTGTTTGAGGCTTGAAACAGCCCGGCACTGGGAGTAGCTGAAGTTAGCCAGAGGCGGGGCTGGGGAGTGGGGGTACAAGTGTGACTGGTGGACTGTGGAGCAGCAGGCAGGGCCCAGGTCCTGGTAGGTCTGCTGGGTTAGGCAAGGTGGGAGGACTTGTCCTAAAGACAACAGCGCTCCAAGTATTGAAGCAGGGAGTGACAGGCCAGAGTGGTGTTTCTGTACCATGTGTGGGGACGAGGCTGGGAGGGCAAGAGTGGTGCAGGGAGACCTGTGTTCACCTGTGCTTTACGGCTTGCCACTGGCACGTCCCGTGGGCTTTGAATGAGTCAGTCTGTGCAGGGATGCTCATGGCCACAGGCTTCCCGTAGAGGCTCGGCCTGCTGCTCCTGGGTACCAGGGACGTCCTGAGCTTACACAGGGCTGCAAGAACATGCGCACATGTCACAGCAGTGCCACTCAGCCCTGCACCCCACCTCTGCCATACGCTGCTCTTACCTGCTTCGGTTTACATTAATGAATATGCGCCCTCTCCGGGGCAGCAGGAGCATGGCCCTGCACAGCAGCTGCGTGCTTCCAGGCTGGTGCATGTCAGAGAGGCCTCAGCCTCACCCTCCTGGTCCCTCCCGCCTCCTGAGGCCAAACTCAAAACCTCTCTCGGAGAAAGGGAGGTTGCACCCTCTGGGAAGCTGACGTAAATGTGTCTCTGGTGTGCCCTGGTGGGCATGCCTTCGCATGAGCACACATCAGAGGGACCATGGGTGCACTGCACGTGAAAGGCAGGCATGTGTGATCCCAAATACATGCCTGCCTTTGGCAGTGGCGGGCACAGGGAGGCCTGCAGCCCAGGCAGCCCTCCTCTCCAAGTCCTGGTCTCTGCTCAGCACATGGCGATGGGCCTGTTTTATGGGCCTCAACCCTGCTCCAAGCAAGCCTGGTGTCTGGGGGCAGGTTCAAGACCATCTCCCATGTGGGGGAAGAGGCACCAGAAGTTTCTGTTTCACCTCCCACCAGGTGACTGCCTATGGGCAAGGCAGCAGCGAAGGCCTGAGACAGAATGTGGACGTGTGGCTGTGGCAGCTGGCAAGTGGGGCCCAGGGACAGGGTTGCAGAACCCCCTGCCGGAGGGCATCAGCCCACTCCTGGGACTGGGACTGCCACACGGGGCCCACTCTTGGGGCCTTGGTGCCCAGGCAGACTCAGACATTCACCCAGGTGTTGAGGCCCAACAGTCTCCATTTGATTCTCCTGCTCCTCTTCTCCAGGAGGGCTCCTCGGTGGTGACAATGGGGGGATGGCACCTGAGCCTGGCCCCTGATGACAGCCTCCTGGTGCTAGCTGGGACCTCGTGAGTACGCGGGGAGCCTTTCCCTGGGATCCTCGGGGTCCAGCTCTGTGTGAGCCCTGCTCGTCTGTGTTGTCCACAGGTATGCCTGGGAGCGAACACAAGGCTCTGTGGCCCTGTCTGTGACCCAGGACCCTGCTTGCAAGAAGCCCCTGTGGTGACCCTGTTGCCATGGCCTGAAGCAGCCACAGGTGTGCCTTGCAAGCACCCTCGCGTGCCATCCCTGCCAAACAACTCTCCCAGCCCCACCGCTTGTCTGTGTACTGCTGCTGTGTCCCCCACAGACCTGGACATTGTTGTCACCCACCCTCCTGCCTTTCTCAGCCCAGATGCCACGCCCCTGAGCGGGCAGCAACTCCCTGTCTTCTCCAGCAGCCTCAGCCTACTGCCTTGCCAGTCTTACCAGGTGGTCTACTCCTGGCCCAGCTCCTGACCATTCCTCTGTCCCTGTAGACTCAGTGCAGCACTTCCCCGCCAAGAAGGCCCTCAATAAAGGCTTCCTGGTGAACGCACACCTGTGGGTCTGCTGCAGGCAGTCATCACTGGCGTTCCCATGTGGCCCCCAGGACCATGTGGTGTGTCTGGGGCATCAGGGCACCAGGTGACCATGGACGTGTTGGAGGGTCTGTTACTGGGCATCCTGTTTGTGGATGGGCATTCCTCACTGTGTGTGTGACTTGATCCACGCATGCTCCATGCCTGGTCCTGGGAGCACAGCCAATGTCATCTCTCCACTTCCTTCTCTGTTCTCATTAATTCTTTTTACCTTTTTTTTTTTTTTTTTTTTTTTTTTTGGAGATAGGATCTCACTCTGTCACCCAGGCTGGAGTGCAGTGGTGCGATCACAGCTCACTGCAGCCTTGACCCTCCTGGCTTAAGTGGTTCTCCCACCTCAGCCTTCTGAGTAGCTGGGACTACAGGCATGCGCCACCACATCCTGCTAATTTTTTTTAGTTTTTCTTTTTTGTAGAGATGGGGGTTTCGCCATGTTGGCCAGGCTGTCTTTTTACATAACTTTAAAACACTAGCATCTGTTGAGTTTTTTTCCAATAACAGAAGTCATCTGTGCTAACTATAGAAAACCCAGAAATACACAAAACCCCCCACCCAGAACTAACCACTGTTAATACCTAAAGACTGTGAGCAGCCTGGGGAGGGGCAGGTAGTTGTACCAAGAGCTCAGCAGTGTCGGTGGGGGGTCTGGCCTTGTGCCCCCTGCCCTCCCCTGTCATGCACAGGTGCCATGTTCAAAGACTCCAGAGGGCCCCCTGAGCCTGCTGTGGGCGTCTAGGGATGCTGGAGGCCTCAGAGGCACCAGTGGGCAGAGACAAGAACGTGGAACCTGCAGTGGGCACAGTTCAGTTTCCTGGGACTTCCGTGAGAAGTCAATGAGGGCATGCACATGAGAGTGACAGATCTGGACAGAACGGGTCCCTGTGTGGACTCAAAGCTTCCTCTAGAAAAGAACACTTGAGCCCTGTCTCCCGCAGCCCCAGCCCAGTGGCTCACTGCCTTCCTACACTCCACTGGGAGCAGAGAAAGACCTGCCTTGGCTGAAAAGGCTACTGGCCCTGAGAGACATCGGGACCTGCACCCACCTCTTCACCCCTAAGGGCTTTCCTCTCCCGCAAGCAAAGAAAAAACACCATCAGCCTCCTCCAAACACAAATGGTCCAGGACAGGTGCGGGCAGAGGCTCTGCGCGGCTCGTTCCTGGCCTGTAGCAATGCACTGCTCCGTGCAAGACCTGAGAAGAGGACACAGAATGTTCCAGGAAGGCCCCAGGTCAGAACACAGGTAGCCATGAGGAGAACAGTTTACTCTCGTACACAGGGCAAGCCTAATCTAGAGAGAAAGTCAGGAAAATTAGATCTGTTTTTGTGAACACTTGCTCTGTCCCAAGGAATCCCCTGGAAGTTTTTACATAAATGATATCACTTTATCCTCACAACTCTCCAAGAAGGTGGTAGAGCCTGATTTTACAGATCAGGCTCAGAGAGGTTTGGAAGTAGGGCAACTCTGTTTCTAACCCAGGCCTGTTTGCATATGAAGCTTAGGCTGGGCCTCACCACCCTGCTTCTCCCAGGGATGTCTGTCCTCAGCCTCGACCAAATGGGAGCCCAGGACAGCCAAGAGAGGCCAGGGGCCACTGTGTCGAAGACACAGAGGCCAGGCCACACATGGCAGACTGCTGACCCCAGCCAGTTAGCAGTGATGGGGTCAGGCGCTGGAGCCTAGAACCACCGCCTCCCTTGGCCCTGCTGTCCCGGGTAATCAGGAGCCTGAAGCCCTCATCTCCACCCACAGGACCAGCCCGTGGGTTCATGAGAATACTTCACCATGGGACAGCTGGACTTGTACCTTGTATGGAGCTAGCGCCAGCCTCCCACTCCCCATTCCACAGTCAATGCTAATGGGGGCAGGGAGAGGGGTGGACAAGGAGCCATGGGGAGGCACAGAGAGGGGAAATCAAGATTGTTCTGTTTGCGGGAGATGCCCCCAGGTCCCCATGCCATGGCAGTAGAAATTTGGCAGGGGCATCCCCTATGGGGCTTACTTCACCATGTACCCAGACTTGGAACCATCACAGACTTCGGAACCATCAGGAATCTGGGAGCAACTGAAAGCTGAACTGCAGTGGGCTTTCAGACACACAGCAGGCGGGCAGAGCACAAGTAAGACTGGTTCCCTCCAGGCCACCAGCAGAGCGGTGGAGGTCTTCACTGACTCCCTGCCCACCTCTCCTGGGACAATGTCCTGTTGGCTCCACGGTCCCTGAAGCCAGAGCTGGTGGGGGCAGGGAGGCAGCCACCAGCCTCTATATGTAGTGGAGGAGGGGGCGTTCAGGGAGGGCTGTATGATCCTGAGAGCCACAGAACACAGGGCTGCAAATACTCTCCCACACCTTACCCGACTGGACTTTCCTCCCACTTCAGGGTGTCTCTGGGCTTCCATCTTGCCCCTGCTGAGCCCTGCTTCTTCCTCTACCAGCAGCACAACCCCCAGGCTGGGCTCAGAGACCTCGTGTGGTCACTCAGTGCCCCGAGGGGGAGGGAAGGAGGGAGGGCTGCAGGGTTCCCCTTGGCCTACAAACAGGAACACAGGGTGTTTCTCAGTGGCTGTGAGAATACTGATGAAACCCCCCGGATGTTGTGTCACCGTGGTGGCCGGCTGATAGTGCCAATCATCCCACTTTGTCCTGGGCACTCCTGCAGGGGTAGAAGACTCCAGAACCTTCTCTCAGGTCCTTGGCTCAAGCAGCCCATGGAACTTCATAACCTGAGTTCTCCCTCTCCCTCTCCCTCCTCCTCTGTCCTCCCTCCCTCCTTCCCTCCCTCACCCTCCTCCGCTCCCTCTGCCTTTACCACTGTGGGGGGGTCCTCTGGAGGGCCCTGCCACCCCACCTCTTCCTCGCTGGTGTCTGCTTTCCTGGCACCGATCCTGGCCCTGGAGTTTGTCCTGGGCCTGGTGGGGAACAGCTTGGCCTTCTTCATCTTCTGTGTCCACACGCGGCCCTGGACCTCCAACACGGTGTTCCTGGTCAGCCTGGTGGCCGCTGACTTCCTCCTGATCAGCAACCTGCCCCTCCGCGTGGACTACTACCTCCTCCATGAGACCTGGCGCTTTGGGGATCCTGCCTGCAAAATCAACCTTTTCATGCTGTCCACCAACCGCACGGCCAGCGTCGTCTTCCTCACAGCCATCGCGCTCAACCGCTACCTGAAGGTGGTGCAGCCCCACCACGCGCTGAGCCGTGCTTCCGTGGGGGCAGCTGCCCGGGTGGCCGGGGGACTCTGGGTGGGCATCCTGCTCCTTAACGGGCACCTGCTCCTGGGCACCTTCTCCGGCCCCTCCTGCCTCAGCTACAGGGTGGGCACGAAGCCCTCGGCCTCACTCCGCTGGCACCAGGCGCTGTACCTGCTGGAGTTCTTCCTGCCACTGGTGCTCATCCTCTTCGCCATCGTGAGCATTGGGCTCACCATCCGGAATCGTGGCCTGGGCGGGCAGGCAGGTCCGCAGAGGGCCATGCGCGTGCTGGCCGTGGTGGTGGCCGTCTACACCATCTGCTTCTTGCCCAGCGTCATCTTTGGCATGGCTTCCATGGTGGCCTTCTGGCTGTCTGCCTGCCGCTCCCTGGACGTCTGCACACAGCTCTTCCACGGCTCCCTGGCCTTCACCTACCTCAACAGCGTCCTGGACCCTGTGCTCTACTGCTTCTCTAGCCCCAACTTCCTCCACCAGAGCCGGGCCTTGCTGGGCCTCACGAGGGGCCGGCAGGGCCCAGTGAGTGACGAGAGCTCCTACCAACCCTCCAGGCAGTGGCGCCACCGGGAGGCCTCTAGGAAGGTGGAGGCCATAGGGAAGCTGGAAGTGCAGGCCGAGGTCTCTCTGGAAAAGGAAGGCTCCTCCCAGGGCTGAGGGCCAGCTGCAGGACTGCAGTGCTGTGGGGGTAAGGGCTGCCGCACTCTGGCCTGGAGGGACAAGGCCAGCACACGGTGCCTCAAGCAACTGGACAAGGGATGGCAGCAGGCCAGGGTCCAGGCCAAAGCACTGGCAGGACTCAGGTGGGTGACAGGCAGAGAAACCCGCCTGGGCCTCTCAGTGTGTCCAGGATGGCGTTCCCAGAATGCAGGGGAGAGCAGGATGCCAGGTGGAGGAGACAGGCAGGGTGCTGTGGGCATGCCAGCTCAGACAGGGACCTGTGCAGCTGCAGGGGCCAGAGGCCAATCACTGTCACAGCAGAGTCGCCTTAGAAATTGGACAGCTGCATGTTCTGTGCTCTCCAGTTTGTCCCTTCCAATATGAATAAACTTCCCTTCTAAATATATTTATTTGCAAGACCAAATACATGTCTTTAATTCTAACCTGGGACTGTCAGTAGGCGTCAAAGTGAGTGCCCCAAGGCGAAGGGAAACTTGGGAGAGAGTGGGGAAGCCATCCCGCAGTCCCGTCCCTGGGACGTCCTGGCATGCCCTGAAAAGCAGAACTGCTTTCCTGGGTGAGGGCCTCAGGCCACCAGGGCTCCAGGCCCTCAGGTACAGTTTGATGCTGAGGACCTAACATCCCTCCCCAGTTCCCTTAATCCACTTAGCCCAACCCTCTCATATCATGGACAGGATGCACCCCAGCTACTAAAGTCATCAGGAATAGAAGTGAAAGCCCCGGAGTGTTGCACACAGACCAGGAGGGTGGTGTCAAGGGTCCGTGTGGATGCTGGGGAGGGAGCCAGAGAAAAAGTATCAGGCAGAGGGAGGCAGGCCTGGGAAGGATGGGCAGGTGAGTACCGGACCCCACCTCCACCGTGTATCTCCAGCCCACTCCCCTGTTCTGAAAATCTACCTGCTGCACTCAGAAACCTACCGAGGTACTGGGGTGCCACCTGGGCCCCCTCCAGGGTTGCTCTTCTGTCTCTCGGCTCCCCATGGGGCCCCCCTTGCCCCCTCAACTCCTACTGCTCCCTTTTACTCCCTGGGGCCACGCCTAGGGGCTTCTCCACGCCCTCCGTGAGCCGCCTCAGCCTGAGTCAGGTCTTTTAGGAAAGGCCCGCACACTCCTGGAGGGGTGGGGACTGAGCGGTTCCTTCGGGCAGATCCCCACCTGGGGTGCCAACACTTGCTGCCAGCTCAACACCAGGCACCTTTCCTCTGGTACCATCTCTGCCTCCGAATGTGCCCACCTGGGCTCAGGGCAGCTCCACAGGCCATTTCCTCAATCTCTTCTTCCCTGGACCCTTCTCCTACCAACTCCTCCCTCAAGTCCTCCCACCTCCCCCAGCACCTGCACTCACTTCTTCATGACCTGATGGAAGGGAAATGGGCAGATACTCCCATGGTTCACAGGCATGTCTGTAGTCCTGTCTTTTCCCATCAAGGGAGGGAGCAGAGGCCGCCCTTGAGGAGTTCCTGGGTAGATGCTGGTCACAGGGTTCAGGCCCGCACTCCTAACCTGCCCTGGATTCTCCTTGCCCCCCATCTTGACCCTGAGGACTGCTCCTCTGCTGATGTTGGGGCACGCCACCCTTTCCCGCCTCTCCATCCTTTGCAAGGCCTTCTGTAAAGGGGGCTGGGTGCTCCCTCATGAAGCAGGCTTCAGGCTGCCCCCATATGGAGGTAGGACTGACTCCCTGGTCCTAACCATGGCCGCAGCCCACTGTACCCTTCTCTGGACTTAGTTCTCCATCTGTGAATAGGAATAGTGATCCTGGCCCTTGCCCAGCTCCAGGGGCTGGGGATGGGAGTAACTATATGCCCAGAGCACTTGGTGAGGAAGGCAGTTATGTGGAGCAGGGAGGGCATAAGGAAGAGGAGTGGGAAGAGAAAGAAAACTGTGTTTAAGTGCAGGGTTTCCTAGAGATGTAGTAGTACCCGTGGTGGTATAACGGGAGCTGGGGACAGGCTGAGACCCCATTTCCTACATTTGGGTTCTAAATGGCATTTTGGTCTCAGGGACAGGCTGCACTATCCAGTGTGAATTTTGGGCAGCGTCTTCCACCTTTTTTTCTGTTCTTTCTCCTAACATAAACTGCCACGCTAAGAGAGGATCAGATGGCATGCATTACATTCCTCCAGGGACTCCTGAGCAGGGGGGCAAGCAGGCAGGGCTGGGTGACGGGCAAGCAGGCAGGGCTGGGTCACAGGCCAGCAGTCACTAACTTGCCAGTGTTTACTGGGCACCTGCCATGGGCCAGACACTAAGCTACAAAAGCAGACAATTGTACTCTCACCTTGAGCCTCCCAGGCTAAGCCGGGGAGAGACGGACCTGCAAATGGAACCAGTGCAATGCAACCCAGGGAAGGTCAGGGTCTTTTAGGTGGTGATGCACCCTGAGAGCAGAGGCTTGAAGAGCTGACTCTGCCTGGGCTGTCAGGTAAGTGATGCACATAAGCTGGATCTTAGAGGATGAGGAAGGAGAGAAGAGAAAGGCATCCCTGGTTCTGGAAGAGCATGGCCAGGGCATGCAGCTGTGAGAAGACTCAGTGTGCAGGGGCGTGGGGAGGAGATCACTGAGGCAAGAGAGGAGGAGGCCTACCACAGAGCTAGAGGACAGGCAGGAAAGGGAGAGGACCAGACCCAGAAGGGCCCTGGTGCCAAGCCCGGGAGTCTGGGTTGATCCTGCAGACAGTATGGCAGGAGAGGGGTGTTAAGTGGAAGATGATGATTGGTTTGCATTTTCTTCAGTTACTCTTGGCAATAACATGAGAGTAGGGGACGTGGGAGATGACCTATGTAGGAAATGTCTGTATTCCAAGCAAAGGCCTGAAGAAAGGCAGCAGCAGAGACCACAGAGGGTCCAGATGAGGAGGCTGTGTGGGTGACACACTGAGAATGCAGGTGGTGGAGCAGGTTTGGAGGTAAAACAAGTTGTAGGGGCTTGGAAGACACCCAGGCAAACATGTACAGTAGCACCCTTCGGACTGGAGATAGGAGTAAGGATCTTCTACTCACCAGGGCTCTGGGAAAGAATGTGGTCATCTGTTGAGAATGAAGAGAATCAAGAACCATCCTTTAAAAAATCCCTGCAAGTAAGGGAAGCATGTAGGAAAACCCAGTGAAATGCTCAGAAAACAAACAAACACACAAAAAACCTTTAAGCAGGAAAAAAAACAGGACTGCAGAAGAAAAGAAGTCAAGGCAATCTTCACCCAAGTAAAGAGATTGCCCACTAAAAAGAACAGAATCAAGCCATCTTTTATGAAGGTAAAAGCCAAACATAAAATACCCAGTCTGCAAAGTGCCTCCTACAAGAACAGAGCATCATGCAGGAACAGAGCATTTTCAAAAGTGTTTCCTAATTACATATTGAAGAGAGTTGATCTGAAAACCAGTGTCCATGTCTGACACTGTCTGGTCAATTAACACTGGATGGACAACCTGGATTAACAATGCACTGTCTGGGTCTATTTTTTAAAAGCTTTTCAAAAAGTGATAGGTTGTCATTGTATGAAATTTAATCATATGCAAAACATGCTCTCTATCATTTATGGATTCATACATATGCATTAATGGTATAAAATCATGTATGGGATGATAAACACTAAATTAAAGAGAGTACTTACTTCTGAGATGGAGGAAAATGGGAAGGGGCACACAGGTGACTTACTACTAGATCTGAAATTATCTTTGTAAAAAAAAATCTGAAAAACGACGATGAGTGACATTTGCATGTTACTTAGCATTGCTTTGGGTAGAGAATAAAGGGATCAGTGTTAACGAAGGAAGAAAATTCATATGGCTACAACAGTTTCAAATGCTCAAGAAAGCTCAAAGAGGATGACTTAAGAATAGCACTGGATTTAACAATTAGAAGGTCGTTAAATATGACTTTATTGAGAGCAATTTCAGTGAGTGGATGGGGGTGGGGGCAGAATGGAAGCCATAAAGTGCTATGATGGGTTGAGGAATTAATGAGATTTGAAGTAATGGAGACAACTCTTCCCCTTTCAACAAATGTGCCAGTAAAAGGAGAGAAGATAATAGCTTTAGATGAAACTAAGCAGAGGACAGATGTTTTGGTGGTTTGACTGTTCTGTTATTTGGTGGATTGGATGAAGAGATTTTAAATACAGGAGGAGAAGGGAGAAAAGAAAAATATTGGGGAGGAGGGGAATGATGTTGGAGACTGGTATGTACCAGGCCTTCTTCTAAGCATTTTATACTTATTAATTTTTTTAGTCCTGATGAAGGAGATTGCATTATTATCCAATTTTACAGATGGAAACACTGAGGCACAAAGAGGTTGAATAATTTGCCCAAGGTCATCCAGCTAGTAAGTGGCAGTCTGGCCTGAGTCAGGACACTATTGCAAGGCCCTAAGGGGGCGGAAGGATGAATCCAGCTCATGGGTGGCAGGAGGGTCTGTCCCCAGAAGATAGAAGGCTGCCTCCTTGAGCTGGAGCAATGGCACTATTTCAGTAGGTCTTGGGACAGAGGGAATAAAGCTGAAGGGATTCTTAGAAGCTGTAGCTCTCAGGGGATAAGAGCTTAAAAAGTGGCAAAGGATTGGAAGAGTTGGTTCTGGAAAGAAGAAAACAAGCTCCCAAAGAACATAGAAAAGGGTCACTAAGCAAGTGGATCAAAGGGGCCTGGTGAGTTGAGCACCCTGATGAGTTAAGCTGTGAGGTCGTGAATAGGTGGTGTGGTTCCTCCAGCAACCTCTACACCCAGGAGCAGAATCAGAAGAAACCGGCCGGGCGCGGTGGCTCAAGCCTGTAATCCCAGCACTTTGGGAGGCCGAGACGGGTGGATCACGAGGTCAGGAGATCGAGACCATCCTGGCTAACACGGTGAAACCCTGTCTCCACTAAAAAATACAAAAAACTAGCCGGGCGAAGTGGTGGGCGCCTGTAGTCCCAGCTACTCGGGAGGCTGAGGCAGGAGAATGGCGTGAACCTGGGAGGCGGAGCTTGCAGTGAGCTGAGATCTGGCCACTGCACTCCAGCCTGGGCGACAGAGCAAGACTCCGTCTCAAAAAAAAAAAAAAAAAGAATCAGAAGAAACCAAGGGTAAAACTTATCCAAGGAGGGGCAGAAGAAACCTCCTAGGAAGGCTGATGGTAAAAACCCAGTCCTGGTATGGAGCTTAAGGTCAGCCCCCTTGGGAGGTATGGCATGCAACACTCCAAGCTACAGAGGAGCTTCCAGAAAAAGGGAGGTGATATTTGATTTTGCATTAAAAGCCTTAATTAAACAACCAAACAAACAAACAAACACTAAGAAGGCCAGGCGCAGTGGCTCATGCCTGTAATCCCAGCACTTTGGGAGGCCAAGGAGGGCAAATCACCTGAGGTCAGGAGTTCGAGACCAGCCTGGCCAACATGGTGAAACCCCCATCTCCACTAAAAATACA